TGACCTAAGTGGTTATAAGTCTGGTTACAACCTAGATAAACCCAAAAGGCGCCAAAGCAGAGCCCAGCGCTCCGTCGAACTCGACGAATGAGAAGTAGAAGCACACCAACTTCCTTTCATTTGCAACCAAAGGGTTGCCTGGCGTGACCTCATCTGAATAGAGGCACAGTTTGAATGGCCGAGACCTATCATTCGCGTGCAATTCCAATTTGCTCGCCAGAAAATTTGCAAAGGCAGGAATGGTACTTGCTGCATGCTGTAGCTGCCTCACGGGGTGCACAGCAGGGAAGTCTTTTTCCGATTTGTCAGTCATTAGAAGACTCACTGTAGTAAATACTTCTGGCGGCAATACTTCTTCTCGAGCACGTTTGATCGCCTTTCGGTCGATTCGCTTGGGCATCCCATGGTCACGGATTTCTTTCAACACGGAGGAGAGGCCGCTGGAGCTCAAATAGCTCGTGCATGTACCTCCATGCGTCAGTGCCCTTTTCGAAGAGGACGCCATCACAGCAGTGCAAAGCGAGCAGAACTATACCTGCCCTGCTAAAGCGAGCTAGTTTCAAGCCCTGCATGCGCAAAGAACTATAATATCTATGGGGCTCTCAGGTACAAGTATTTTCCCATTAAGAAACAAATGGACGGTTGCAAATGGCTTTGGCGGCCTCTATCGTTGTAGGCCAGCTGTTTGTCAGGTGCAAGCTGTAATTTTTCGCTTCATTTTTGATTGGTTCAATATCAGGCCTCCAAGGTGTCAATGACTGATGTGAGCCAATGGTAAACACTGCCCTCGAGCCTGAACCAAGCAACGTATGGATCATGAGCCTGCAAGACAGGCCCAAAGCACACACTGTCAAAATGAAAGCTATCTTTGCATTCGGTCTTGCTACACTGACTCAATGACACGCTCTTGCAAACCAGCCTGGAACAGGAAGTCAGACCTCAGACGCGCGCGGCGAAAGCGAAAACATTCCAAGTAGGAACCAAGGAGGCTTGTAGATAGATGGGAAGCAAACAGGGCTTTTCTCCCCGCCATCAAAGGTCATGCTAACATGGCCAATTAGCTCTCAAAGGCTTCTGAACTTGTTGATATTGTCAAAACAATAAAAGCAAAAGTCCCTCTGTCACGATCAGGCAGCGGCAGGATTGGCCCAACGCTGTCTAGGACCATGACTTCACTCACCCCGGTACGCCACTTCGAGCGCACAAAAAATGGCTCACCCCAAAAAGCATCCTAGTCGACGTCTTTGATGTACTCCAAGCACTTCAGCCACACATCACCTACATGAGCAGGATCCTTGACTTTGAACTTCCGGTCATTCCGATCGGTTTTGCACTTGAACACTCTGAACTCTTTCCCTGATGCAGGGAACTGGATCTTACCCCCACGGTAGTGCACAGTGCCAGAGCCTGGCTCTGGGCAAGGAGGTTCGCCCACATGTGCATTCTTTGTGTCCGCACCCTTCGCATGCGCCTTTGCTTTGCAGGCTGCTTTCCCCTTGGCTTTTGCCTTTGGCTTGACAGCTGCTTTCCCCTTGGCTTTTGCCTTTGGCTTGACAGCCTTGGGGGCAGCTTTGGGTTTCTTCATCTTGGAACCTTTCTCATCTTCATCTTCGTGGTCATGTGAAGCTTCCCTCTTCCTGGACTCTGTCCTTTCAGCAATTGCTTCGAGGACTGCACTCACTTCCTTATTCGGCGGGAAGTGCAATGAAGATGGAACCACCAGTGAAGGCTGCTGAGGCCCCTCAGCCTGCCGCGGAGGGGCCTCAGCCGCGGCAGCTGCTTGGACCTCTTCTGGTTTGGCAGCAGCGGGTGGGGCTTCAGTCTTCTCTTGTGGGGCTGAAGGAGCTGGAAGAGCAAGCTGCGCATTGGAACCTGTTGTGACAGGCAAATTTGCCCGCCCTGCTTCTGGCGAACTCTGGGAGTCAGAGCCCCCCAAGCTCAGGCGCTTTCCTCTCCTGGGTTTGAAGACATGAAGCGATGGCAACTCTCCACCACTGAAACTGTTCAGTGCGTGATGCATCATTTGCATGAGCAAAGTGGATGCATGTGCCATGTCTTGCTGGCCATTCGAAGAACTTGGACCTTCATGATAGGCCTTCATTGCTTTTGCATTTTTACGCAAGGGCACAGCGCTTCCACTTCCCATGTTCACCTGAACAGTGACTGGAGAGTCGCCTTTATCATAAGCACTCTCATATAGTGACTTGGGCAAGCCCTCTGGGCTTTCTGGGTATTCAACTATATGCTGAGAGGGCCTTGGAGCATTCTTGACTCTTTGCTTGAGCAACCTTTTCACTTCATTGACCACCCTGTAGGCTTCCTCTCCTGAAAGCTCAAAAGCTCCCGCCGCGATGGCAGTCTGAATCACTGCCCTCAGCAACTTCTCTGAAGGCAAGTGGATCCCCAATCGGAAAAGGCGCGTGGCGATCTGGTCGCATTTCATGGTAGTTGATTGAGACGTGTCCTGCAGGATTGACAAATCCTGGTTTGAGAAGTATTTCTCAAAACTCACAATGTTCTGGTTCGCACGCCTTGGGGGATTTGTGGCCAGGCCACGGGACACGGCATCATTGAGCTTTTTACCGAGACTGGCCCTTTGTTGGTCTGTCCATGGACCCATTGCCAAGGTGTCGGCAATCCTCAGAGCCTCTGGCGCAGTCAAGCCTCGTTCATCGAGTTGTCGCCCCCACACAATGGCTTGCTGCGCCAGAATGTCCCCAAAGCCTTCTTCATTCTTGATAAGGTTTTTCTGAACCACTAGGTACTCTTGAGCTTCCTTCAACTGCTGCTCCAGCTTGCTGCCATCCGTCGCCATGATGCAAGCGAGCCGCCAAGTTATGTTGTCACACGAGCAGGAAATGCCCTGTATGCATGAGCGAGCGTGCCATGCACACCCTGCCACAAGTTGTGCTTACAACCTTTGCAGTACATGTCACGCTGTGTGGTTTGCTGAACAAGCAACAAGTCGACAACACCGAAAACGGAATACACAAAGAAGTGCACTCTGTCAGTTAAATCTTGAGGCTCAGGACCCAATATCCTCAAGCCAGCGTCAGACCTCAGGAGATGCACATAAACGTGGTGAACAATTCCAACATTTGGGTAAGACTCTGTTTGGAAAGTCGAGCTCTGATCTTTAGACATTGTTGCACGCAGGACCCAAAACGTACAAGCACACGTTTCTAGAGACTGCTTTCAATGTCAAAAGCCTGTTCACAGCTAGCTCCTAAATTGGAAACCTGCTGGTATGTGGACTCTTTCAGGAAAGATATTCCAAAGTATGTTATTGCGCGAGAAAATTCCAAGATCCATGAATCAAACCAGCACAAGTTGAGAAGACTCGAGATCGTGCCACCCAACCCTTTTTTGCGTCAGCGACGATCACTGGCTAGTTGGTTGGTGCTTTGCGAAGCGAAGGTCACAAAAAGTTCATCATGGGCGGCCCAATGATACCTGTCACTTGAACCCAAGCTTAAAGCACAGCAAAACCTTTAACAAACGCATCACAGGTATTTGAAAGAGACCTTGACTGAAAACAAGTATGTCTGGAGGTTTACTATTGGACAAAATGTCCAGACCCTGTACTTCCCATGATGAAACTGCGTGAGACAGACCGTGTTAAAAGATGTCATCAACCGTGCAAAGCCGTGGCGACAAATTCAGTACTTTACATGTCACATCAGTGGTCATATTATGTCAGTGAACCTTTGCATATTCGTTAAATCATATTATAGCTGTCACCACTATTCCGACCGTGCAATTGCTTTCATTGCAACCTCACTGAGCTGGCAGACCGCTTTCATTGCGTAGGTCCATTGATCTTGTTCCCCTTGTGCCTTCCAGCTCTTGCCCTTCTGAGCTGCTTGGGACTGCTTGCCAGGCGTCCGCTTCCTTGATCGCCCTTGCCCATACCTTGCATGCACATTGCGGGACAAATGACACATAAATCTATGTGTCATTAAACTACCATGCATGGGTGTTCTGCAAGATGGAACATAACAGACCACGGACCCTTATTAGCACCTGTGGAAAACGGCGTGCAAAGCTTTTACCAAAACTTCCAAGGCACGGAAAGAAGGTCCCGGACACATCGCGATATCCTCCCACGCAATACTCCCCACCGTAGTCGTCATACTTTCCTTTGCCTTGTCCTTTTCTGCATCCAGCTTGTGACTTCCACTTCTGCTGGGCCCAGTGGGGTCTGGACCAACCACGTCCTTCACCAATAGCACCACGTCCATGTCCTTGTTGGTGCCACTTTCCTTTGCCCTTGCCGCGGCCCCAGCCACCTTTGGACTTCCAGCTCCAGTTCTTCTTGCCCTTCGTGGAGCTCTTGTCGTGGCCTTCATGGTCTTCATCTTCTCGCTTCTGTGAAGGCCGTGGCTTGTCTTTGTCATCAGCAGCTTCTACTTCTTCATCTTTTACCATATCCTCTTCCTCCTCCCCCTCCATGGGTTCATCCACCATGGGCTCCTCCGCCTCGCCCTCACCCCCATGGTGCTTCTCTTCCATCGGCGCATTCTCTTCCATCGTGGGTGGCAGCAGCAAGTTTAATGCTTCTCCCACAGCCCAACCATCATCAGCGGCAGGCGCTTTGCGGCCTTTGCCGCGCCGCATAGGCACGGCACTAGATGGAGCCGCAGGCGGACTCGCAGGAGAAGCCATGAAGCCAGGAAAGAATCGGACTGGTAGTTTCCATAGACTTCGATAGAATGTTCATGTATGCTTATCAGCTGCCATGCTATGAGGCTAGTATATGCTAGTATGCCAACTATGGTAATGTTTGGTCTGTATGTTATTGCGCGAGCCATGAACAAAACAAAGTCGTCTTGGGCCGCACACAAACGCATGCCATGGTTGCGCGCGATTCCCACTTGACAACGTGATCTAGGAAAATGATAGCTCATCTACTGCCATCAAAGTCTGAGCTACGCAGGACTCGGTAAATCGACCTGCACATGGGGCACCCGACAGTGTGTTTGGAGCTGCACCAAATGGAAGGCTTGCGGTCAAGCCTGAGCAAGCGGTTGAACACGTCTCGCGTCCAGCAGGGAGTGAACACTGGTGATACTCTCGCACAACATTGGACGCAGGGATGTGGCTGTCTAGTTCCTTCCTGGGAACCATAGTTCACCGTTGACAATGAACAAAACGACTGACAATGTTTCTACAAGCAAAGCTTCTGAGATGCACTGCAAACCAACTTCTTTTTCGCACAAAACTGTTGAGGTCGGAGCTCACAGAGTTTACTCTGCACCTCACTGTTGCACGAGGCGCTTGTGCTGAAACTTTGACAAAACAGGCATGTATGCCAACGGTGTCTTCCCGTAGATACGACGCTGAATCTTGAAAGATTTCTCTGGGTGGATGTACTTGGACTGCGCTTTCACAAGTACTTGGGAGCCCGTCTCGATCATGGCAAGGCGCTGGGATGCGCGCATTTTGGATGACTTCAACAGGGAAGCCCTAACCAAAGCCAGCAGCTGTTGCCCATCAAGCGTTTCCTTCGCAGGAAACTTACGAGACCACAGCAAGTCCCGAGTCATCCCTGAGAAGACAGATAGCTCCAAGGATCGGTTGGGCATGACTTCATACCCGCCCTGCGCAATCATCGTGTGAGTCTCTGTGGGGCGAGTGAAAAACACGCGCTGCGTGGCATCGTTCTTCCACCGTTGATAGCCATTCGAGAACGTGTCTGTGAGCTTGTAGGGCAAGTAGATGCCACGCGATCCCAAATAGAGCTTGCTCTGATGTTCTTTCAAGTGCTCCTCCTGCTTTGGTGGCACTCGAACCCATTGACTATTGCCAATCTTCTGGGCTCGTGCCACAGTGGTCTTCTCACCCACAAACGTCATCTCCCAAGCTTCTGCCGCCATGGTCAAAAGCGTACGGACGTGCGAGCAAAAAGGTTTGCCCTGCAATGCAAGAGGATGCGAGCCAAGTAATGCCCTGCATTCACGCCTGATTTGCACTTGCTGCAAAAAAGTTTCAGCCTGATTTGTACTCGCTGCAACCTAGCTACAAAATAGTTTCAATCGTTCCTAAATCTGAAACAAACTCAATTCTTCCACTGTGACAGTACATTCAAGTCCGTCAGGCATGTGAAATGCACAATGCATTCGCTACCCACGTGAGCTCACAACTGTGAGAAACTTATTGAAGAAAGGCTGGAAGACCTGAGGTGGCACAAAGCTAGCTGGATGTCAAAATGAGCCCTTATGTAAATCAACAAAAAATCATTCATGCCAAATGTTGATATACAACTGGCAAATGAAACCCATTGTAAATATACAATGGCTTGTCAAACTAGTGAGGCTGCACAATGTATATCTACATTAAAAAGCTGAAAACTAATGTCGATTTACATTATTGCAAAAATCCAAGATCTTAACTATAACCAGGGGGGCGGCCCCCTAGGGGAAACTCTGCCCGTTTTTTTGGCGTGGATTTTGAATATTGATCGTTGTTTTCTCAATTCAACTGATATCCAACAAAAACATATTGAATAAAAAAAGGACAACAGTGACTCTCAAAACTCCTTTTTTTTTTGGACTGAAGTGTGAAATTCGAAAACACATCAAAATCTCAGTGGTTGGGTTGATCATCACTGCACCGTGAAAGCAAGAACACATCAATCACCTCAACAATATCATCGACCAAAAAAACAAATGGACAGAACAAACATAGTTCAAATTACAAAGGAATCTTCTGGTGCCTCACAAACTTCGGCGGCTCCAAGCAGACTTGGGGCCACACAAACATAGAGGCAACAGCGCCCATCCTTAACGGAGCACCGAGCACCTACTACGAAGGCCGGTGCACAGCACACATGGTACATGAGCATCATCCCTGCGCAGTCTCGAAACACATCCTCAACTAAACGGAAAACCAGTTTCGCGCCAAAGCTACATTTGGGTATGGACACATGCCTTTGCACTATGTACATTTTTTCCACACCCTGCACGAGAGCAGTAAAGACTGCTATTGGAATGCTTCATTCCCCAGTCAGTCCCCAGCAACACACGTGTGCGTTGAGAAAACTCAAATCCAACAACGTGATCTCAGAGTTATCAACAAATCAACAACCACATCTAAAGACTCAGCTGAGGCCTTCGAATCTCCATGAAGCTTTAATTATTATCTGGTCAGATGAATCACTGCACAAAGCTAAGCAGCACCACCGCTGACCACAACATTGGATGCGTCGTGTGGATCCAACGGTTCCTGTGAATCCGCTCGCTCCAGTTGCCCTGAGCTGGTGGCCTTGGCAAGCCTTCTTTGCCCTCTTGGGGCTCTGGAGCGACCTTTTGCTGCATCCGGTGCTTTGCAGGCATCCCGTATGAACGAGAGGTTCGCGACTGTGTATTCTATCCATACTACAGGAGATGTGACTGACCACAACACATCCAGCTGATGGTTGCGTAGGGTCAAAGTGACAATTCTGCTGCGCATCAAATGATCACAGTCTCGGGCTTTCTGCAGTTTTTGTTTTTTTCGCGTTGGCTCCTCAGGCTGGCACTGGTCTGCCTCCTGGGCCTCTTGAATTGCCGCTTGCAAGAGCCGGTCACATGCATTTTTGCGCTCAGCACGCAGTTCGTCTATCACAGCGAGATTGCATGTGTTTGCAACTTTGCCTTTTCGGCGTTCCGTCGTGCTCTTGAATGCATGGGAGCCATGGCTTTTTCTCACCGTGCCAGACGGCCTCTATCATGGACAAGCGTATCTGCTGCTGCTGCATCGCCATGATGACTAGCAAACTGTGGAACAGGAGCCAAACGCTTGATGCTCAACAAAGCAGCAAGCAAACACAGTTGCCCTGCAACTTGCGAGCTGCACCAGCCCTGCCCCAAACGGCGTTTTCCCGCAAACGAACTGCTAAGTTCCAGTGTGAAAAGCCATCAAGGGCCCCCACACAAACACACATACCTGACTTTGCACAAAGGCTGTGTTTTGGAACATCGTTCTGAGGGGATGGCTTGGCTGCATTGCAAGGCCTCACATATGTGCCAAAGCAACCCTGTGACACCACGGGTTGCGACTGCGATAGCAACCATGCTTTCCAACCTGCATGCACAACTTCCATCAACGCCAATTTGTCGACAACACTATATAAAGTCCGAAATCTCGGACAAACACATGCCAGCAGTTCACTAGAGCTAGAGGATTGAGCTACTGCTTCGCTTCTTCACCCTCCAATCACTATGCATGAGTGCCTCTCAAAGAAACACCTTTTCTTCCTGGTCAGCCATGTGTCTACACAGTCGACCTCACTGCTAGTCCAGTGAATTCATGTGGCAAATACCACATGGTGCATAGTTCTAATTGGAATGCAAGAAGGCATATTTCAGACTCAAAAGAAGCGAGCATTTTTGCGCTGAAGTGTGCCCCGGTCATCCTGGATGTTCTTTTGGTCCTCCTGCACCGGATTGTGGAGAGCCTCAACAGAAACACCCATCTCGACCAGCACAGTTTCAATCTCTCGCGCAAGATGTCGTGCTTGCTTCCATTCCTCACAGGTCATTTACTGACAGAGACATCACAGCAAACCTTCACTGCGCCAGGCATGGTTTGCAGCAAGCAAGACATGTGAAAGCAAAGCGCACGCAGGGTAGCGGAACAAGCTTGCAGAAAAACAACATGTGGAACATGTGAGCTAATGTATGCATCAGAATTGCATTGTAGTGGATCTACGTGTAGCTATGAAACAAGCCATGTCAACAAGGCGCTGATGCTTCAAGCTGGAGGTAGCATCGCCACAGCTTCTCGATTGGATAGTTAATCCGGCGCGCTTGCTGAGCTAAGAACTTCCGGGTTTTCGGCTTGCATTGGACGCGCTTCATTGATCCTACGGCTTACCACTATCCCCAATTCAGCCAAAGTGTCTCCAGCTGCGTTCCAAGGGACACACGCTCTATTAAAATATACGCTTCACTCGAAACAAGCACACATTGGAACAAAGGATCCAAAAGATGCTGGCAGGTTGTTGCTGCATTTCATTCTTGTCTCCATCAAAAAGATCACTCATAACAAACGAAGCCATCAACCAATGTTAAAAGAACTGCCTCTCTGTTTGGACATTCCCAACGTTTGTTTCTTTTCTACCACAGCGCTCCACAAAAAATGTCTACTGGCATTTGAAAGCATCTTGCCAGCCGATGTGCTTTCACTCCTGCACAAAAATGCTATTTCCGGGCCTTCTTCATTGGAGGTTCCTCATCGCTGTCTGTGGCCTTGGGCCGGAAAAGCAAAAGCGAGACGCCTTGATTGATCTTCACAGTGTTGCGCAACACTGGAACTTTAAAGTCTTTGCTCTTTGGCACCTTTACACCTGTCAGGTTCGGCCAAAACTCCATGTTGACCTCCTTGGCTTTCTCTGCGCCGCGGACCAACCAGCACGGAGAGATCATGGAGCACCCTTTGGGCATCACGCCATCCTTAGGTAGCGCCATGTGCGGCGCCAACCAGGTCTCAACATCCTCACCATGCGCCAAAGATCTCTGCCCCATGGAAATAGAACCTGCTGGCGCACTTTTGTCCTTGGGGAGAACAAGGACTTTGGTGGTCGCAGGAACCAAAGAAAGCTGGTGCTTTGGAAGAGGCTTCGAAGCTACCACATC